GCCATGCTGAGGCCGTGTCCCACATACAGCAACTAGAAGGATGTGCAGCTGTGACATGCAACTATCTACGGGGGCTTTGGGGGAAAAAATTAAATAAATAAAAATTATAAAAAAAAAAAAAAAAGAATTGTAAAAAAGTATCAAGGTATTGAACAACAAAGAAAAATGAGCACTTCCTCCCAAATAGGAAGAGACTAAGGAGAGATGTCGACTAAAAGCAACGTATGATTCTGGATTGGATCTTAAACCAGAAAAAGGACACTGGAGGATAACTGGTAAAATCAATAAGATTTGTAGACTAGTTAATATTTTTTATCAATATTAATTTCCTGATTTTTCTAATTGTACTATGGTTACATAAGATGTTAATATTTGGGAGAGTTGTAAACAGTGCACAAGGACCCCTTGACTATTTTTGAAATGTTTTCCTAAGTCTGAAATTATTTTAAAATGAAGAATAAAAAGGAAAAAGAAAAACTCCAATAGATGAGTTGAATATCATAACACAGTATGAGCTGGTAGATGAGGTCAAGGAACTCTTCCAGGAGGTATCAGGAAGAGATAAAGAAATGGACAACAGAGAAACTAAGAAACGCAGAGGCTAGGGACAGAAATTTCAACAACATCAGAGGAACTGCAAAGGGAAAGAAAAAAATAATGGAGAGAAGAAAATATTTGAAGAAATAATGGTCCAAGCTTCCAAATAAATGTGGAGGATGAATACTAGAACTTTTTTCTCTCCCCAAATCCCACTAAAATGACAGAGAAAGAATAAAAATGAACAAAGACACTGGCAAGAAGATAACAAGTAAGAGATGCCATAAAATTTTGGAAGCTGGAAGCAGATGGATGAGTGAAAAACAGACAGGAGACCAGAGAAAGCTTAATCTGAAGCCAACAAGAAGCAAGGTGGAGCTGAAAGGCCCTGAAACTGGAGAAACCAGATGTAGTAGAATACTGGAATGAAACAGTGGGCTGGAACAGAGGATTATCTGAAAGCCTTTAAAAGGGACAGTTAGGGGGCTGGCCCGGTGGCGTAGCGGTTAAGTCCGTGTGCTCCGCTTCAGCGGCCCGGGGTTCACAGCTTTGGATCCTGGGTGTAGACCTACGCATGGCTTATCAAGCCATGCTGTGGCAGCACCCCACATACAAAGTAGAGGAAGATGGGCGTGGATGTTAGCCCAGGGCCAATCTTTCTCAGCAAAAAGAGGAGGACTGGCAACAGATGTTAGCTCAGGGCTAATCTTCCTCACCAAAAAAATACAAATAAAAAACGAAGAAAACAAACCGCCATAGAAGAATCAGCAGAAATAAGAGACAGCAAAATCAGATCCCCAAGAACCTCAAATAGAATGATCAGATATAGACTATAAAATAAGTATTTAAATTATTAAATACTTTAATTTTATTAAAATATTTAAAATGTTGAGAGAAAATAAATGTCAACTTAGAATTTTAAATCTGGCTAAACAATTATTCAAGAACTAGGATAAAATAAAGACATTTTTCAAACAAACAAAACTCCAGTTTATCACCAACCAAATATTACTAAAGGACTTCTAACAGGTGTACTTTGGACAGAAGGAAAGTGAAACCAGAAGGAAGACCCGAAATGCCAAAAAATTGGTGAAAATATGTATAAATTTAAACAATCATTGACTGCATAAAACAATAGTAATGATGACTATTTGGAAGTAAAAAAGATAGTCAATAATAATATTGTTGCTAGACAGCAATAATGCTAGACCGGGGTAGGGGTGGTTCAGAGAGAGAGCAGTCTAGGCCCTTGTAGTGCTCAGGAGGAAGAGAGAAATATTTACAACATCAGACTTTGCTACAGCACACTGGAAGCTAAAAGAAGATGGAACATGTCTTCAAAACTCTGAGGGAAAACTATTTCCAACCTAGAACTCTTTACCTAGCTGAACTATCATTCAAATGTAAGGTAGCATAAAAAACAATCAGACCTGCAAGGTCTCAAAAAATTTGCCTGTCATGTTCCCTTTCTCAAGAAGCTATACTAGGGCCGGCCCCGTGGCTTAGCGGTTAAGTGCGCGCTTTCCGACGCTGGCGGCCCGGGTTCGGATCCCGGGCGCACACCGACACACCGCTTCTCCGGCCATGCTGGGGCCGCATCCCACATACAGCAACTAGAAGGATGTGCAGCTATGACATACAACTATCTACTGGGGCTTTGGGGGGAAAAAAAAAAAATAAATTTTTAAAAAAAAAAAAAAAAAAAAAAAGCTATACTAGAAGATGTACTCTACCAAAATGAGGAAGTAAACAAAGAGAGAGGAAAATATGGAATTTAGAATATAGGGAATTCCACATAGGAAAGAGGCAAAGGGAATTCCATAGAATGATGAACGGAGATCCTAGGAAGAAACCAGTGCAAAAGGCCTAGTGCATAACTGGACCCGACCAGAGTACTAAGACAGTGGTGGTCTCAGAGGTACATCTCTCAGACAGAGAAGAAACTGATAGTTTCTCTCATGAGCTTGAAAGTATTGAGAGAAGGTTTTTTTTTTTCTTTTGTGAGGAAGACCGGCCCTGGGCTAACAGCAGTGCCCATCTCCCTCCACTTTATATGGGACGCCGCCACAGCATGGCTTGACAAGCTGTGCATTGGTGCACGCCCGGGATCCCAACCAGCGGACCCCAGGCCGCCACAGCGGAGCAGCGCACTTAACCGCTTGCGCCACCGGGCCGGCCTGAGAGAAAGTTTATACTTCTGGTAAAGACTTTGGACATGAATTAGTGATCCATAAACAGAAAACAAAGCATACTTCTGAGTTTACTATATGGCTCCGTTGTGAATAATCTTTTCATAATCACAACAATGTAAATACAAAAATGACTAAACAAAAACTATTACGTATACACTGGGAGGATGAGAGGAAAGGAGGGAAATGTGTATCTGTTTGTGTGTGGTGTAGAGGAGAGTGGGGACAGAAAAGTAATCTTTACTTTCCATATTAGAAAGTCAACAGATATTTAAAATTGAAAACAACAAAAGCAGCATAAGCATGCCATTTAGAAATTAGAAGGTAAATACTAGAAGAAATAGCTAAAAGAGCATAAATGGTTGTACCTTAGGAAATGGGATCAGGAGGTAGGAAAGGAGCAGCAACTCATACTCTTGCGTGGGTGTGTGTGGGTGTGGGTATGTGTGACAGACCTTGGCCTTTTAAACTACGTAAACATAAAACTGTAAGAAAAATGAAAATAAAAATCCTCTAAGAGTCATGCTGCAGTGAATTTTAAAAACAAATATAAAGAGAATAATCTGAAATCTTCTCAAGAGAAAAGCACATCACTTACAAAGGAACAAGAATCAGACTGACATCAATTCTCAACAGTATCTACTTTTCGCAAGAAGAAACGACTGTAATTTTTCAGTGTGTTGAAGGAAAAAAACTTTGACTCAAGAATTTTAATACAAGGGTGAAATAAAGCTATTCTCAGGCATACAAGCCTCAGAAAGTTTATCACATAAAGCCCCCTTTTGAAAACACTCTTGGAGAAAGTTCTCCAGCAAAAAGAGAAATAGATCCAGAAGAAAGCAACAAGACATGGGAAGGAAGCATAAATAACTTAGTAAAGTGTACTGCTGTTCATAATGCAACAACTAAATGCACATCCATAACAATCCAGAAACAAAACTAGAGGATACTAAGAGAGTGGAGGGGGGAGTATTGAGAGAAGTGAGTATGCGCTAAAATACTTACCTAATTGAGTGTGGGTGTTTAAGTTTATTGATAAACTTAAGAATTTTATGGTGAAAATAACCATGAATATGGATTTAGTTACTCTACCCTGACTTCCCATCTGTCTGCTAACTTGTTCATAATTATCAAACTGAAAGCTTGTTTGACATTTACCGTGAATTCCTAAATGATCGACGACATTCCTCAACACACACAAACAAAACGACTAAGTAATTAGAAAACCCCAATAGGGCTAACATATTCTGGCCTTTTCCTCCCAAGAGACTCTAGGGCAAGAGCAGCAACTTGGTCCTCGCATCCCCAGTTTTGACCTGTTTCCTACCTAGGTCCGGAGCCCGGAGCCTACTCTCAGCCATTGAACTCTCCGGCTCAAAGCAATCTTCGCCTAAGAAAGAAGCACAAAACAGCAGCTGAACCACCTTCTCTAGTCTTCGACCTTCCACCATCGGCTCCCCTCGCTTCCCAAATCCCGCACTATCCCCACTGCGGCTACAGCAAGACTCAACTCCATCCCAACCCATATTCCACCCCAACTCCCGCGCCTCCTTCCAGGCTCTTGTCCCTCAGTCCCACCGCCCCCTTTCAGCCTCTGCTCCCTCAACTCCCATGGCCTCTTGGCCACCCCGTGTAATTTCTTTTTTTTTTTTTTTTTAAAGATTTTATTTATTTATTTTTCCCCCAAAGCCCCAGTAGATAGTTGTCTGTCATAGCTGCACATCCTTCTAGTTGCTGTATGTGGGACGCGGCCTCAGCATGGCCAGAGGAGCGGTGCGTCGGTGCGCACCCGGGATCCGAACCCGGGCCACCGGCAGCGGAGTGCGCACACTTAACCACTAAGCCACGGGGCCGGCCCATCACCCCGTGTAATTTCAATTCCCGTGCCTCCCTCCAAGTTCTTGTGCCCTCGGTCCCTGCACCCACTTTAGACCTCTGTCCCTTCAACTCCTGTGACCCCTTCCCGGCCCCTCTACCCTCTCCAGCTTCTGCACGTAACCGCTCCCTGATTTCTGTGCCCACTTCCCGACCACGCACCCTCTCCACAACTCTTCTGACCCCTTCTGCCTGCCTTCTTACCCCTTCTTTTCCTTCCCGGCATCCGTACCTTTTCCCGGCTCCCTCCTCAAATTCTCGGCTCTTTCTCGGCTTCCGTATTCCTTCTTTACGGCCGTCGTCTTACATTCGCGGACTCCTTGAGCTCTTTCAAGACTCCGGAGTCCCGGTTGTTGCCCTGCAACTATAATATCATTCTCTAGGCGCCCTCAGCCGCGGCTTCGGTTTAAATTTCCTGTCGGCTCCGCCCCTGAAACGATGTCATAGCTTCGAGAGCTGCCCTACGGTGGCCCTAGGAGGACAATATTAACTCAGCGACTCCTCCCCTTCCCCTTGATTTTTCGCTCCGCTTTCTCTATCAGTCCCTTCATTTCTCGGCTTTTCATTGGCACTTGGAGCCTTAATAGTCAGCATGCTGGGGTCTAGTGGTAGAGTCTTAGTGATCCTCATACTGAGCTGGTTTGAAATTCCTAGGAGTTCGAGAATAAGTAACAAAATAAGCTTAACACTTATAGAGCATTTATGTTTTACATGAAAATTTCACATACACATCATTTCATCTTCACGTCTTTGTTTCCCTCCCTTTTCTCCACTTACCCATCCAACAAAAAATTTCTCAATTCCTCACTTGCCGTCTTTTCTTCAATTTACCTAATTAGACTTTGGTCTTCCCCTCTCCACTAAAACTGTATGTACTTATCCAGGTCAGTTGTGACTTCCACCTTCCCAAATGGTATCACTTTGCTATCCTCATCCTATCCGACTTCTAGAACATTGATACAGACCACTCCCTCCTTCTTGAAACAACTTTCTTCTTTTTGCTTCCATTTCTGCCCGTTTTCACCTTCCTCCATGGCTCCGCCTCAGTCTCCTTTGCTGGACCCAAAGCCACTGTTCCACCCATAAATGTTGGAGTAGCCAAGGCTTTAGCCCTTAGCCCTTAGCCCCCAGCCCTCTTCTCTTCCCTATTAACACTCTATCCCTAGGACATCTCATCCAACTCCTTGGCTTTACAATTCAGCGCTATGCTAATACCTGCAGAATTTCTGTCTCTAGTTCTGACCTCTCCTCTGATCTCCAGACTTATTTATTCAAGTGCCTAGTGGACATTTCCATTTGGATGTCTAATAGGTATCTAAGAGGCTTTACATGTTCAAAACAGAACTTTTGTTCCACCCACCTATTCCCCAAAACCCCCAGTGATTCTTCTCCCAGTCCTCCCTATCTCAGTAAATGTCACATCATCCACTCAGTTGCTCAAACCAAAAACCTAGAAGTTATCTTTCAGTACTTTCCCTTATCCCCATCTGTACTCCAAAAACAAGTTCTACCAACTCCAAAGTACATCTTGAATCAGACCACTGCTACTACCCTAGTCTGAGCTACCATAATTTCTTGCCCAAAGTACTGCGCCGATTCCTAACACTACTTCTACTCGAGTAGCTTCCTACCTCTCCTCAATATAATCCATTCTCCATACACAGGCAGAATGATATTCTTTAAACACCATGGTAGAGCTAACTATACTACATATACTTGGTATTCCTTCCAGTGGGGTCCCTCCCTGCAGAAGATTATACATCCAGGTTCTGATGAACTAAAGCCTGGTCATGTGACTTGCTTTGGCTGATGACAAAAGAAAAATAGTGACTCATCACTTCCAAGCACAAGCTTTAAAAGTCAGTATGGTTTTCCAGGTTCTTTCCCCCATCACAGTGACTGGCAATGTCCTAGCTAGAGGCTGCCCCATCAACTTGGGTTTCTTAGTGAAGATGACATGGAAGAAAACCATGGGCAACTCATAGTGGATTTGCAGCGTGAGCAAGAAATAAACTGTTGTTATAAGCTATTGAGATTTTGGCATCATTTGTTATCACATCATAATCTAGCTCAAGGTTCTCAAAGTGTAGCTCAGCCCTTTCAGAAGGTTCCATGAGGTCAAAACTATTTTTACAATAATTCTAAGACATTATTTTCCATTTTGGCTCTCCTTCTCTCACGAATGTTCAGTGGAGTACACAGAAGCAAAAACGAGAATCCAACACTCTTCTATTAAACCGGATATTAAAGAGATTTGCAGAAATGTAAAACAATGACATTCTTCTAATTATTTTTGTTTTGGAAAATATATTTTCATTAAAAATGCATTATTTATGGTAACACATAGCAGGCTTATTTTTAAATGAACAAACTAATATTTTAAAATTTTCTCAGTTTTAATTTCTAATATGGTAAATATGAAATATGATTTTATAAATATATACAAATATATAAGATACATAAGCTGATATTTATAAGTTTAAAAATACCCACATTGTGGTAGCCAGTCTCCAAAACGGCCTGCAATGATCCTTAATTCCTGGTAGTCACGCCTACATCAAATAGGGCTATGTACCAATAGAATAATGAGGAAATGACAATGTGTGACTTCTAAGGCTAGGTCATAAAAGGCATTTCAACATCTGTATTGCCGTTTCTTGGATCGCCTGTCATGGGGGAAGCCAGCAGTCATGACATGAGGACACTCAAGTGTGCCTGTGGAGAGGCTCATGTGGAGATCAACTGAAGCTTCCTGCTAACAGACAGCACCAACTTACCACTCATGTGATGGGACCATCTTGCAAGCAGATCCTTCAGTCCTGCTCAAGCTTTCAGATGACTGCAACCTCACGAGACCCCAAGCCAGAAAATCCCAGCCACGCTGCTCCCAAATTCCAGGCCCACAGAAACCCAGAGAAAATAAGTTTAGTGTTGTTTTAAGTTATTAAATTTTGGGGTGATTTGTACACAGCAATAGATAATATACTACACATAAACAAAGAAGCTGTTTGGGATATTCAGTTTCTAAAAATGTAAAGGGTCCCGAAACCAAAACTTTCAGAATTGCTAACCTAGCCTATCCTGACTGATGTAAATAAAATCAGATCAAATTACCCTCCCTTTCAAAAACTCCCAGTGGCTCTCCCTATTTGCCTCTCTGAGCAAACTCCTCTGTGTCTTGAACAAGCCAAGCTCATCCCTGCCTTTGGGCCTCTGCACTAACAATTTCATTCCTAGATCTTCTCTTTCCTTTTAGGCACCAGATCAAATCTCACTTTTTCAGATAGGACTTGAGACCACACAGGGTCACAGTAGCTCCCCCATTCCTTGCCAGGTCGGCCACTTGGGTTGATTTTCTTCACAGAACTTACCACTATCAGAAAGTATTTTGTTTACTTGTTTATTGTCTGTATTTCCCCCCTAGAATGTAAGCCCACAAGAACAAAGACCTTTTCTGTTTTACTCACTGCTACATCCCCAAAGTAAAGAACACAGTAGGTGCCTAGTGAATATTTGTTGAATGAATTAATGAATCTCTCTGATCTTCAGTTTTTTTCATTTCAAAACGAAGATAATATTATCTACAAGGTAGTGAGGTTTTAAAGATTAAAGATGTGTTTAGCACAAAGTCAGTGACCAGAAAAAGGTAGCTTTTACCATGTGGCAGAAAATATTTTGGGTTAATAATTCAAAATTTTCTTTCTCACCATTTTTCTTGATTCCTTATGGGAAGTGCTTAAAATTAGGAAAAAAAAAAAGTCAACTTGTATCACAGAACAAGGGCTGACTTCCCAATATCTAAAAAACTTGTACAAATAGACACAGAAAAGACAACAACCCAAGTGAAAATGGGTAAGGGAACATTCACAGAAAGGAAATACAAAGAGCGTTCAAATATGCTCAACCTCACTTAAAATAAGAGAAATGCAAATTAAATCTACACCGAAATACCATTCTTCACTTAACAGACTGGCAAAGATCAATTTTGCTAGATAGTGCCAAACCTCCTTACGTACGTTGTATCAGGCTCTTATGTAAGGCACTTTGGCACTATCTAGCAAAATTACAAAAGTACGAGTCTTGCCATCCAGCAACCCCATTTCTAGGAGTTATTTTACAGATATATTCACACATAGGTGATATGATTTATGTAATAAAGGTACCTAGTGCAGCACTGCAGTATCTACCAGCCATATGGTGTTTATCAGAGAAATACCTATGAAATAATGACACAGGGCTGGCCCCGTGGCTTAGCGGTTAAGTGCGCGCGCTCTGCCACCGGCGGCCTGGGTTCGGATCCCGGGCGTGCACCAACGCACGGATTCTCCGGCCATGCTGAGGCCGCGTCCCACATACAGCAACTAGAAGGATGTGCAACTATGACATACAACTATCTACTGGGGCTTTGGGGAAAAAAAAGGAGGAGGATTGGCAATAGATGTTAGCTCAGAGCTGGTCTTCCTCAGCAAAAAGAGGATTAGCATGGATGTTAGCTCAGGGCTGATCTTCCTCACAAAAAAAAAGAAATAATGACACAGAAAACTTGACAGAAAAGGGATGCAGATATATTTAATTATTTTATTTTACAAATACATATGGACTGCTTTCTATGATGTTCAAGGCACTTTAAAAATAGTAATTAGTTTAATCCTCACAATCCTATGAGGTAGGTAGTAACTACGTGCATTTTATACATGGGAACACTGAGGTTATAACTTGCTTGAGGTCACACAGCTCGAAAGTATTAGTGCTGGATTTGAACCCAGGCAGCCTGACTTCAGAGGCCATGCTCTGAACATTGTTCTCTGCTGCCTCTCAATTTAAGGCAAAATAGAAAAAGAAAACTGATACATTGATGTTAAAATTTGCAAAATAGACTTTAAGAGATAAAAAATTATTATGGATACAGGTGTCATTGCTTGATGATAAACAATTCACCAGGAACTATAATAGTCTAGTACTTATATGAATCTAACAACATACCTTCAAAATATTTAAGGCAGAAATACAAGGGAAGACTGAAAAATCTACAAACATAGTGAGACATTTTAGCATACTTTTCCCCCAAAGGTATGATAGATAGAACAAAACTAAAACAAAATTAGTAACACATAAAAGATTAAATGATAAAACTAACAAACTTCAATATACAAATATTAGAAAATAAATATTATTTTCAAGTACCCATGGAACATTATAAAATCAATTTATACTAGGCCACTAAAGTATCAACCAATACCAAAGAATCAACATCATACAGAACATAACCTATGACCACAATATAATGAAGTTAGAATTCAACAACAGGTAATTTATTTTATTTTATTATTTTATTTTATTTTACTTATCTATTTATTTATTTATTTTTTGCTGAGGAAGATCGGCCCTGGGCTAACATCCATACCCATCTTCCTCTACGTTATATGTGGGATGCCTGCCACAGCATGGCTTGATAAGTGGTGTGTAGGTCCACGCCCAAGATCTGAACCTGTGAACCCCAGGCCACTGAAGCAGAGCGCGCGAACTTAATCACTACACCACCGAACTGGCCCCCAGGTAATTTATTTTAAAAGGAGTAAAACAAAATGCATTCCTCTAGGAATTTAAAACCATACTTCTAAATAATTCATGATAGGAGAATAAAACAATGGAAATTGTAATATATTTAGAACTCCAACAATGAAAAACTACATATCAAAAGCTGTGAGATTCCTTTTAAAAAGTTGTAACATTCAGCTATAATACCTAGAAGGAAATGTATGACCTTAAATGTATATGCTATATTAGAAAATAAGACAGATTGAAAATGAATCAGCTAAGTGTTCAACTTGAGAAGTCAGAAAATGAACAACAGGGTACACCCAATGACTGCAGATGGTCATAAATAATAAAGAATAGAAATTAATGAAAAAGAAAAAAAAAGAAAAAGTATACTCCTACAAGTCAGTATAGAAAAGACAAATAAACCAATAGAAAAATCCACAAGAGATATAAACAGGCAATTCAAAGATGAGGAAATTTTAATGGCTAATAA